AGGCAGGAGGAGTTACAGTGTCTAGCGGCTGCTTCACCTCATCTCGCGTCTGTACTGTGTCCCTGAGGGAGACCCTGATGCACTAGACATCCCGACTCCGCGTTCTTACGCGGAGGCCGTAGAGGGTCCCTACTCCTCTCAGTGGCAGGCAGCTATGGATGCAGAGATGGCTTCCTGGAAGTCCACAGGCACCTACGTTGACGCGGTTCCCCCTCTTGGGGCGAACATCGTCAGTGGCATGTGGATCTTCAGGGTGAAGCGGCCGCCGGGCTCTCCACCTGTCTTCAAGGCACGGTACGTTGCTCGTGGCTTCAGTCAGCGGCAGGGAGTTGACTACTTTCAGACCTTCTCTCCCACCCCGAAGATGACTACTCTTCGGGTGCTGCTGCACATAGCCGCTCAGCGCGACTACGAGCTTCACTCTCTCGACTTCAGCACTGCGTTCTTGCAGGGTAGCCTCCACGAGGAGATCTGGCTTCGCCGTCCACCTGGCTTCACTGGGACTTTCCCTCCTGGCACCCAGTGGAGCCTCCGACGGCCAGTCTACGGTCTCCGCCAGGCACCGCGTGAGTGGCACGACACACTGAGGACTACGCTTGCGACTCTTGGGTTTGCTCCTTCTACTGCTGACCCGTCGCTGTTTCTTCGCACCGACACTTCACTGCCGCCGTTCTACATCCTCGTGTACGTCGAGGACTTGGTCTTTGCCACAGCGGACACTGCTGGACTCGCCTACGTGAAGTCCGAGCTGCTGAAGAGACACACGTGCACAGACCTGGGTGAACTGCGCAGCTACCTTGGCTTGCAGATCACTCGGGACAGAGCACGCCGCACCATTACCTTGACTCAGTCGCACATGGTGCAGCAGGTCCTTCAGCGCTTCGGCTTCACGTACTCCTCGCCTCAGGCCACTCCTCTGCCTACTCGCCACTCACTCTCAGCTCTGCCTTCGGATGAGTCCGTAGAGTCGAGTGGTCCGTATGCAGAGCTTGTTGGCTGCCTCATGTACCTGATGACCTGCACACGACCTGACCTTGCATACCCTCTGAGCATTCTTGCACGCTATGTTGCTCCTGGGAGACACAGACCAGAGCACATGGCTGCAGCGAAGAGGGTATTGCGCTACCTGTGCAGTACGTCGGGCATGGGACTAGTGCTTGGAGGGCGGAGTCCAGTGGTCCTTACCGGCCACGCGGACGCTTCTTGGGCTGACGACCAGGCTACGCAGCGGTCGTCACAGGGTTACACCTTCAGCCTTGGTTCCGGCTCTGTCTCGTGGCGGTCTACTCGCTCGTCTTCGGTTCTCGGCTCCAGTTGTGAGGCTGAGATCTACGCCGGGGCCATGGCTGCACAGGAGCTTCGCTGGCTCACCTACCTGTTGACTGACCTTGGAGAGCCGCCTCGTTCTCCTCCAGTGCTGTACGTAGACAACAAGGCCATGCTGGCCTTGTTTCGAGAGCAGCGCTTGGAGCACAGAACGAAGCACATTGCTCTCCGCTACTTCCTTGCTCGTGAGCTGCAGCAGCGTGGTCAGTTGCGACTTGCGTACGTGGCCTCTGAGGCCAACACTGCTGATGTGTTCACCAAGGCACTCGCGCCTTGTGACCATCAGCGCTTTTGCACCCAGCTGGGTCTTGTGCCTGTCTTGCCTCACTTGCTCTCCTCTTGACTTCACTTGTAATGTGACCTATATATATACCTGCTCTTGCTTGTCTAGTTTTATATATATGTCTGTACTCCTGCATGTGAACTGGCCTCTGGCCCTGCTCTTGTGCTCGGACTGTGTGGTGACTTTGTGATCCACCCTGAGCTTGCTTTGCTTTGCTTGACTGGTCTTGTGACCCCTTGTACTCCCCCACTTTGCCTATGGGGGTGTGTCAAACATTATATATGTTATGCTTGTGTAGGCTAGAGTGGGTTAGCCTATAGGGGGTACACAATTCTAGGGTTTCCTACTTGTACTCATTTCACTGCTAGTTCATTCATCCCTGTTCATTGATTCTCACACTGTGACTCGGTGAGGGTCGGTGTGGTTGGGCGAGCAGGCAATCTCGTCAGTAGTTGGCCCAACTTCTACTGACTGCTGGCGTTTCCCTGCCTCTGAGACTCCCTCCCCTGCTCTTCTCCTTGGTGCCTGAGCTCCTCTGGGCATTCGCTCTTGCGATGGCCCGGCCTGTTGCAAGCAAAGCAGCGCCCCTTAAACGGTGCGGCAGCTGCATTTGTTGCAACGGCGTGTACAGTGGCGTGCTCGGTCGGTCCCCGAGGGCGATGTCCGTAATAGGACCCCGGTCTCGGTCGGCGTAGAATGTCGATCTTCTCGGCGAGCGCGAGAATCTCGTTGAAATTAGAGAGTCTGCGTAGCATTATTTCGTGCGAGATATCGGGCTTCAACCCTCCGACGTAACGGACCACCCGCTCCGCTTCGTGCATGTAGCCGACCTGCTCGCAAAGTGCGAGAAAACCGCTTGTATAATCTTGAACTGACCCGAGCTGGCGCCAAGTGCGCAATCTCTGACGCGCCGAAATTGAAGCCGCGATCGGCTCAAAGCGCGCCCGAAGCCGTGCGCACCACGCATCCCACGTGCTGTATTGGGCGGTCTCACAGAACGAACTCCAGGTGACAGCTGGACCCGTGGGCCCTTCCTCGTGCGACGGTGGCTCGTAGGCGCGTGGCGACGTCACGATGACTCGCCACCAGTCCATGGCGGGGCCCCTTAACAGTGAAACTGCATACCGGATCTTCGCGGCGTCCGACTCGACGTAATTTGCGTCGAAGAAGACGTTCATCGTGAAGACCCATGATTGAACCGTCGGACCGCCGCGTTGGCTTGGGTCGAAGCAGGGCGGGCGTTGCGGCTTGAGCGGCATTGGTGCCATGATGGCTTGTTCGCTACTTGTCGCCGCAAATTCCACGTGCCGACGGGCTTCTCGGGGCTCCCGCGGGCTTGGTGCGATCCTGTTTCCTCCCATGCCAGGCATCGGCTGGGCGGCGCCATTACTGGCTGCGCCTGAGCGTTGTCCCATGCCGTCGTGTTGTGTTGGTGTGCCGGACGAGATGACGATCGGCTCATCCGAATGTGCAGATACATTTGTTGGTGTGTGTGATGTCGCCGGAACGTTCGCCGTGGACTGTTGACGGGCGGAGTCACGTTCCGCCGTGAGCGTCGCGATTTCGAGCGCTGAATCTTCCAGTTGACGCACGAGACGATCAAGCTGCTCCTGCGTCAATGTGGCGAGCGTGAAATCGGCCATGGCGGGGGTGTCGGGCAAGCTCAGCGAGAGCCTCGGTCGTGGCCGTGCGTGCTTACGAGAGTGTGCTACGAGCGGCGGTGCTGTATCGCTGAGAGACGTCTACCCCCCCCAAAAAAGTGAGATAGTGGGGAAGCGAAGGTGTGGATGCGGTCCGAGATGAGATCGTAGGCTCTGATACCAAGTGTTACGAGTGCAATTGAGTGAACGAACGAGAATTGCACTATCGAAGCAAGAATACAATGAGCGAAGGCATGAGCGAAGAATATATAGCGAAAACTACAGTGGTAACAGTAATGGTCTGTGGTAGTCGCGCGACGAGCCTGGGACTGAGGTTGGGAAAGTGTCGAAGCGTAGGCCCGGAGCGCGGGTTACCAGCCGAGCCGTGAGGCCGGGATGCGATGTGTGAAAATGGCGTGATGATTGTCGGTGCGATGATCGCGAGTGGTAACGGTGCTGACTGAGGTGCTACAGTGATGTACGCGTTGAGCAGGGATGCGAAGTAACGAAAAGAGATGTTCCATATAGAAGTCCTACCTAGGCGAAGAGGTCGGGAAAGGGTGGCTCACGAAAGGTCGCGATTGGTGCGGAGGCGACTCGGTGTGGTTTGGATGCGGAAATGTAGGCCAAACCATCTGACGCATTCCCCGCGGATTGTACTTTCTAAAACGCGGGTACAAGGAATTATAATTCCTTACATCATTCCTTATTATTCATTCTACAGTTACCATTGTAACATTGGTATCGATCTAGATTGATTCGTTGGGCTCACCGGCCCGTGCCCGCCAGATCCCGTAGCGCCCCGTAGTTATAAGCGCCCCGTACCCGCAGCGCCCATGTAGCTCGCGCCCCCGTCCCCTCCCCGTCGCGCCCCCGTCGCGTCCCCGCTACCTCCCCGCTACCTCCCCGTCGCCTCCCGTCGCCTCCCCGTCCCCTTCCCCCGTCGCGTCCCCGTCACCTCCCGTCCCTTCCCCGTTCTCCTCCGCGTCGCATTCCCGGCTTTCGTCGGCTCCCCGTCCCCATCCCCGTCGCGTCCCCGTCCCTCCCCGTCGCCTCCGCGTCGCATCCCCGTCGCCTCCCGTCGCCTCCCCGTCCCCTTCCCCGTCACGTCCCCGTCACCTCCCGTCCCCTCCTATGTTTCTTGAGCAAATGCCTGAATCGCCGTCGTGACCTTGGAAACGCATACGGGAGGAGCAACAGCAAACGGGGTGAAGAAATGTCGTCGCCGACTGCAGCGACAGTGGCGCGGCGACGGCGCGGACTGAGTGGGCCCCGCGCGGCGTCGCCGCCCCCTGGAACCGGTACGCCATTGCCGTGGCGGCAGCAGCAGCGCTGGTGGCACGCAGGCCGCTGTCGCCTCTATAGAATGTGACAGGGGCTCTTTTTTCGCTCGTGATCCTACTAATGTATAACGTGTCCTCCCTGCTTCATGCGTGCTGTTCCCATTCGTAGCCATTGCCTTCCCACGCCATTCAAGTCGACCGAATCTCACATCACATCGTCCCCCGTCCACCTCCCGCGTCTGACCCCCCCAGTATCGCGGTGGGGTCAGCAACGCGCGCTCAAGGCGGCACTGCTGGCGGCGCTGGGCGCGGCGTGCTGCATCGCGTTTCTGCGCGCCGGCCTGCCGTTTCGCGGCCAGTCGACGCACGCAGACGAGGACTCGTTTTTCCAAGTAATTGCTCGTCTCTCTTAACTCGTCTGCGCACAACCCCCCACATTTCCATCTCCTTCGCCTCCCCTCCTGCTCCATGTGCAACCCTCTCCTCGCTCTGCCCCACCTCTCCGCACTCAGCCTCACATCTCCCCCTTCTGCCCCAACTCCCCTCTCCTGCCTCACCTCTCCGTTGGCTTCCCCGCCTGCCTCCGCGCCCATGGTCTTGACCACAGGCGGACGAGGGTGTTCAAGCGGGTGGCGTGGAGGAGGATGGGTGGCCGGTGATGGGCGGGGTGAGGTGGAGGGGGTGTGCGGGACGAGCCACTGCACTGCCTGCTGCCATGGGTGAACTCTCAAACCATGCTTCTGCTCTCCCATGCATGCATTTGACAAGCCACTGCCCTGCGTGCTGCCATGGGTGGGTGGGTCATTCGTGACGCTGATCTCTCAAACACATGTGTCTGTAGCTGTCACACGTGTGTAGTGAGCGTGCCTGTCTCCTTTGCGATGCACCTGTGAAGTACAGCTGTGTGTTTGCTGTATTCCCTTCTACTCTCCCGCGCTCATCCTCTCTTCCATGTTAGCTCCAAATGCCTCCTTTTGTTCATGCATGCTTTTCGTGCTAACCTGCCCGCCATCTGCTCTACTGTGTGCGCAGCCGGCAGAGGAGGGGAGGACCAGGGGGGCTATTTGGTGGTGCAGCTGGCAGGGGGACTCAACCAGATGCGCGCAGGGGTGGGTGGGGGGCTCTCAACCTCGTTTCCCAGCCTCGTTCTCATGCTCGCTCCCTCCCGCCCCTGCTCTCACTCACGTTCTCCTCACCTGTTGCTTTGCTGCCCTAAACAATTACCCTGCACTTCTCCCCAACCCCTCCACCCTCCTTCCCCCACTTCCCCTCACTCTACCCCTTTCCCCCCCGGGCCTCCCATCCCTCCACCCCTGACCCCCCTGCCGCTCCCCCATGGGGGAGCAGATCTGTGACGCGGTGGTGGTGGCAAAGCTGCTGGGAGCGTCGCTGATGCTGCCGTTGTTGGATAACTCCTCCTGGTGGGCCGACGGCAGGTGAGGGCCATGGCAGGTGAGGGCCATGGCAGGTGAGTGGATAATGAGACGTGGCTGATGAGGTGTGAGAATGAGAGTGGGCGAGCAGCACCGTTGGTGTTGGTGGAATGGAAGGACTGCCCAATCACCGCACCGCGTGCCCCCCTCATTCATTCCCCTACCTCCCTCCCACCATCCACATCCGCGCTTCCTACACCTCCCACCCCAGTTGTCCGCATCGTCCTTTCACGTTGAACGTTCCCCACCACCCGCCCCCGGCAGCACATTTGCGGACGTGTTTGACGCGGGGCACTTTGCGCGGGTGCTGGCGCCGTGGGTGCGCGTGGTGGACCGCCTGCCCTCCGCGCTGCGCCACCGCCCCCCCCTTGACCGCACCGTGCCGCGCGGCTCCACTGCTGAGTACTACGAGACGCGCGTCAGAGCGATGATCAGGTGCTGTGCCAGTCAGAGCAATGATCAGGTGCTGTGCCAGTCAGAGCGATGATCAGGTGCTGTGCCAGTCAGAGTGATGATCAGGTGCTGTGCCAGTCAGAGCGATGATCGGGTGCTGTGCCAGTCAGAGCGATGATCAGGTGCTGTGCCAGTCAGAGCGATGATCAGGTGCTGTGCCAGGCTGTATGAGTAAAAGTGGCTGTGGTGATAGCGCTGCTGCTGATGGCACTGGCACGGACTCGTTGAAAGCACATGATGGCAGCAGTAATTGATCAGGCATTACTTTTCGTCCAAGCGTCATCCACGGTTCCTATCCTTTCTCTGTTTTCTCCCTTCCTGCCTCAATCGCTCCTGCCTACTGTACTGCTGTCCCTTCCCCATGCCATACGACATGCTCTGTTCTCTCTTGTCCCTCTGACTCGTGTGTACTTGGCAGAAAGGCGCAGGTGCTGAAGCTGAACCATTTTGATTCCAGGCTGCATGATGACCTCCCGTTACACCTGCAGAAGGTACCAGCTCGAAAACCTATCCGTGTTTCAACATTTATTGTTTCTCCTTTTCGTTCTCTTTCCGAGCACGCTTACGAGATCAATGGAACAGGTACCACGATACAGAGATTGCCGCATGCCCATGTTGACTACCCTTAGGTGCCATGACCTGATTGCACGTTGGTAAACCACGTGGCTTCTCACCCACTCTATCCATCGTTCCCTTCTCCTGCCACTGTTTCATTCCCCCCTCCTCCTCCCCCCCACACCCCCTGTCTCCCCCATCTTCCCCTCCCCCTCCATCCACCCCACCCTCTGTCCCCCCTGGCAGCTGCGCTGCGTGGCAAACTACGAGGCGCTGCGCTTCGTGCCGGCGGTCACGCAAGCCGTCACGCGCCTCACCCACGCGCTCACCCACCCCTCCGCCACAGCCGCCACCACTGCCCTTGACCCCGCTGCTCAGGCCGGCCGTGCTGCAGCAGCAGCGCAAGGCGCACAAGGGCAGCGGGGAGAGAGGGAGCAGGTGGGGAGAGAGAGGGAGCAGGTTGAGGGAGGGATGCAGGCGAAGGGGAGTGGCGGCCCGGTCAAGTATGTCGCGATTCATCTAAGGCAAGACGGACATGGGGGGTGACATGGGCATGGGGGGTGACATGGGCATGGGGGGTGACATGGGCATGGGGGGTGACATGGGCATGGGATGAAATGGGAATGGGAGGTGACCTCTGTGCTCCGGTATAGTTAACCTCACTCGATTGTGCCATAACCTTTCACTTTCCGGTGCCTTCTGTGTTTCTTTGCCACCTGTTGTTTAAGAGACCATTTGCAACTTCCATGCATCCTGTGCCAAGCACAAGGCGTTATCCATGCAACTGCACATGGTGCAATCGATCCATCCCATGTGTTCCCTCCATCCCATCCCATGCACAACATGACGTGCCATGCGGCATGGCAGGTACGAGCCGGACATGCTGGCGTTCACGGGGTGCGAGTACGAGGGGGGCGCGGAGGAGAAGGCGCTGTTTGAGTCCATCCGACGGCGCTGGGCCAACCTGCCCGCCATGGACGCTGAGAAGCAGAGGGCCAAGGGCATGTGCATCGTCACCCCCTCCCAGGCATGTGCATCGTCACTCCCTCCCAGGCATGTGCATCGTCACTCCCTCCCAGGCATGTGCATCGTCACTCCCTCCTAGGCATGTGCATCGTCACTCCCTTGCATGCCATGCCATGGGTTGCTTTTCCTGCCCATACCATGCCATGAGCCACTGAGCACGTGGGCAACGGCAGTCGGCATTGAGTGCAGCACGCTCTCTACCACTGCAATGCCACCCACTGCCACAACCATCCACCCTCTCACCTCTTTTCAACCCCTCCCACCCCTCTCCCCTGCATGCCCATGTCCGCAGGTGGCAGTGGCCTTGCAGGCGCTGGGCTTGCCACCGTCCACGCGCGTGTACATCGCGTCGGGGGCGCTGCACGGTGGGCCGGCGGCGCTGCAGCCGCTGCTGCACGCCTACCCCTTCACCACGGACAAGCACTCCCTCGCACACTCCCACGCCATGGCCCACGCCCGCACAGGGGGGCGTGACGATGACGACGATGAGGGGGATGAGGCATGGGGTGCGGGTGGGGGCGGGAGCGGGGAAGAGGGGGTGAGAGGGGAGGGGGGAGGGGCGTTGGCAGGGGTGGAGAGGCGCAAGACGCTGCTGGCGGCGGTGGACTATGAGATGTGTCGCGGGGCAGCGCTGCTCGTCACCAACAACAATGGCAACATGGCCCACCTGCTAGCGGGCCACAGAAGGTGCTGCCTTGGGGGGAGTTGCTGTCTTGGGGGGACTTGCTGCCTTGGGGGGACTTGCTGCCTTGGGGGGACTTGCTGTCCTGGGAGCATGCGAGCTTCGCAAGCCGTTTGACTAATGTTTGCCTCTTATCCCTGTCCTCAATAAGCCAATATTTCTCCCCCGCACACCTCTACCACAACAGCTCTCTTCCCCTCCCTCTCCCTCCACGGCTCCCCCACCACATCCCCTTCCCCGCCGCATGCGGCCACCCATAGGTACAACGGGGTGGGCGGCACGGTGCACCTCTTTGGCTCTTCCATCCACCGCCTCCTTGCTGCCATCCAACACGGGGATCACGAGGCTGCTCAGAAGCTTTGCAATCGGCTGCTCAAGGGCGACCTGAGTAGTGAGAGGGAGAGCAATGAGAAGGCTGCAGCGAGAGGAGGGTTTTACGCATTTCCACGTGACTGTTTGTGTCAAGTCTGATTTTCCGTTGCCTTCCGTAGTGTTTCCAGCTGATCATGATTCTTGATGCGGAACGGAATGGTACCTATCCATGAGCTGAGTGCTCACATTTCTCACCAGCAGTGCCCACACCGCAACCCGTTGGCTCCACAGGAGGTCACAGAAAGGTCAAGCAAAAGGACCATGGGAGCATGGCAGTGCATGACTTGGGTCATGCAGGTGCAGGAGTTGGGAAAGGGGAGCTTGGGGCACATACCGTATTCTCCCGGACATAACACCCTAGGGTATAGCTAAAAATACAGGGAAAAAATGGGGGGGGTCTCCTCAAAGGAAAAAAATACATAATACCCGGGTCTTTACATATGGCATATTTTAGTGTTAGTGTTTTTTTAATTAGTCAATGTGGGTGTTTTGCTGGTCGTTTTAGCATCACTGCCTGAGGCGCGAATGTGAGTTTCGGCCTCGAACTTCATCGCCCCCACGAAAATGGCATGTGGCACCTCTCTTGCCACTTGCAACGGAAGATTTATTAGAATGGACTAAGATACTAGCGGAAGCTTTAGTAGTCTTAGAACCTCCTCCTAAAGCCTAGGAATCCTAGGAGCCCACTTGGGCATGAACCATGCTAGAACCAAAGTGGTTTCCAAAACTGAAAATACCAACAAGAGAGAACCCTAACCTATAGGGTTTGGGAGGTGGTCCACTCTAAAGAGTGTACACCACAAGTTCTCCCAACCCAACCAATGTATTCTACACTACCATAGTGTAGATGTACCACTACATATGTTTATTGGAGCAACCCGAATTAACCTTAATTCCAACACCCCCCCTTGCTCCAATAAGCATTAAAGTTCACCCATAAATCAAAATACAACCCCTCCAGCGAATGAAGCCTTGGCCTTCGCAGCAATCACTCGCATGCCGATGCGCTCCAGGTTCTCATGCAGCTGCAAGCTTGGAAGAGCTTTGGTGAGCATGTCGGCATCCTGGAGGTGGGAGCGTACTGAGTGCACCTCGACCTCCTGCTGGCGCACCGCATCCCGTACAAAGTGCCATGCCACCTTAATGTGCTTGGTGCGCTGATGGAGAACGGGATTGTGGGCAAGGGAGACAGCTGCCTCATTATCACAGAGCAATGGAATAGCCCCCCCCATCCCCCACATGCATCTCTGCCAACAGACTCCTCAACCAAATGGCCTCCTTGGCCCCCTCCGATAGAGCTTTGTACTCAGCTTCAGAAACGCTTGCTGCAACACTGTCTTGCTTTTTGCTATACCAGCTGATTGCTCCTCCTCCCAGCTTAAAGATGTAGGCAGAGCGACTCTTGCCATCAGTCTCACCACCCCAATCCGAGTCTGTGTACCCGACAACCTGCTCACCACCTTGGCGCTCATACCTGATGACACGATCAGCTGTGTCGACCAAGTACCTGAGTGCTCTCAGTGCAGCGCGCATGTGAATGCGTCTTGGTGCCACGCAGGACTGTGCAAGGGTGTTGACAGTGAAAGACATGTTAGGACGGGTGGTCACAGCAGCATACATCAAGCTGCCAATGAGACTCTGGTACACCTTGACATCAGCTGCAACACCTTCCTCAGTTGACCAAGTACCATTCCTGATCTTAGAGAGATCATTGGGTGACATTGGAGTATGCACCCTATGGGTCTCCTTCAGCAGATCACCAAACCTTCCCTGGAGACCACGGACATACTTCTCCTGACCAATCTCCAACCACCCATCCTTGACCGACCTGCGAACCTCCACACCAAGGTACATGGATATCTCACCTAGATCCTTCATCTGGTACCTCTGAGCAAGCACCTCCTTGACCTGACCGATCAGCTCCAAGCGTGGAGACACAAGCAAGAGGTCATCCACATACACCAATACATACACTGGCTCTTCATCCACAAACCTGATGTACAGAGCCTCATCACATGCACTGCGGTCAAACCCTGCTGCAATCAAGGTGGTACCAATCTCCTCATTCCAAGCACGAGGCGCTTGCTTGAGCCCATAGAGAGCTTTGCGCAAGCGATGCACCCTACCTGTACCATCATCAAATCCCTCAGGTTGCCTCACATACACTTCCTCTTGAAGGAGTGCATTGAGGTAAGCATGATCAACATCCTCCTGTTGTACATGCCACCCTTTTACCGCGGCTTCTGCAAGAAGCACCCGACCTGAGGTCAGCTTGCTCACAGGGGCAAATACCTGATCATAGTCCTTCTCAGGCTCCTGAGTGTACCCCTTAGCAACAAGGCGAACCTTGTGCTGTACCACCTTATCCTCCTTGTCAGTTTTCCTGCGGAAAACGTACCGGACCCCAATGGCCTTCTTACCTGGAGGTAAGTCAACCGGCTCTGGATCCCATACACCCATAGTGCGCATTGCATTTACCTCCTTCTCAGCGCCTGCCTTCCACGCAGGGCCCTCAGGGCCACGCAGGGCCTCAGCGAGTGTGCGTGGGACATCACCTGTGCTCACACCTGCCAGTGCAACACCTTCCACCTCCCTGGCCAAACATAGCATGCCCTCAACCACACCAGCATCCCCCCCTACCTCCTCACCACCTGTACCAGACTGGATACCAAGCACCTGCAAACCCGTAACCGGTGGTGGGGAGGTAGTCGCTGGTGACGGAGGGGCACCTGTAGAGAGAGGGATAGAGCGCTGACCAGAGGAGGAGGAAGAGGAAGTAGCCTGTGTAGCGGATCTCCGCTGAATGACCGAGGGGCCACTGAGGTGCTGCAGAGGGGTGGGCTGCTGCTGCACCGACACACTCAGCGGTGCCGGTGGCAGTGGTGAAAGTGGCATCTCAACGTCGTCAGCCGTTGCTGAAGGTGGCGAGAGTGGAAGAGGGAGGAGTTGGGAAATTGCAGCTGCATCCTGCAGAAGCTCCCCAAATTCCTTTGCCTTGTCCCAATCCTTCCACATCACATTCTCAAGGAAATCAACATCCCGAGCAATGCGAATGCGCATGATAGAAGGGTCCAGCATGCGCCAACCCTTGCTCTCCATGTCCACCCCAACACAGACACACATGACAGCCCGTGCATCAAGCTTGCCACCCTTCTCATGCCCATGCAACATGACACTCCCCATGCAACCCCAAATCCGAGCCATGCCCACATGCGGCTTCTGGCCGGACCACGCCTCCATTGGTGTGATGGAGGCAGGCAAAGCACTGTGGGTGACCCTGTTCTTAACCCACACGACCCACATCAATGCTTCACCCCACAAGCGAGCAGGGAGACCACTGTCGACCAACAATGTGCGAATCCCCTCTGCCATCGTCCTGTGCCACCTCTCCACAACCCCATTCTGTTGCGGTGTATCTGCGACGCTCAATTTAGTTTTAATGCCAAACTCCGCCTTCCATGCTTTTACAGCTTCCCCCAAGAACTCGCCACCCCTGTCCGAGCGAACAGCCTTCAGCTTCCGCCCACACTCCAACTCCACGTCCTTATGCCACTGGCGAAGGACTTTTGCAACTATGGCCGATTCCTTGTTGGGGAGGGGGAACGACCAAACTCGTCTGGTGAAGTCGTCAATGAGACTGAGGACATACACCGCTCCTCCCAGTGATGGTGTGCGCACCGACCCCCACAAATCCATGTGGACCTCATCCAAAGGCCCAAGTGCCCGAGATGCCTCATGGGGAAACGGCTTCCGAGCCGACTTTCCCAATAAGCAGGGCTCACATGGGGAACAATCAGTGTTCCCCCCCCCAATCTCCAAGCCCAGTACACTGTTCCCCCGAGCCATCTGTTGCAATGTTGTGGGGGCGGTATGACCAAGGCGGCGATGGGCAAGGGTCAATGGGGAAAATGAGGAGGACGACTTAGCTGCAAGAGCACTGCCCTGTGTGCCCTGAGCAAGAGGAAGAAACATCCGCACCAATCCATGGTCCCTTCCCCTCTCCTTTTCTCCAATCGCCAACACCCGCTCCCCCCGTTGAAGGACACATCTCTTGCCTTTGAATGTGACAATGACATCTCGAGAGGTGAGGTGTGGGACTGACAGCAGACGCGTGTGCATCTCAGGCACAAGGTGGACCTTTTGAATCCTCAGCAGCTGACCTCCAGCACCAACCACTGGCACCTCACCCATGCCAACAGCTTTCACCACCCGTCCATCTCCCAATCTAACTCCCCGAACCTCTGGTGGTTGAAGCTTACTTTTGAAGTCCGATGCATAAGGAGTAAAGTTGTGGCTGGCCCCACTGTCAATCCACCACCCCTCTCGCGGCTGCTCCTCTCCCACTGCTGCAACTGCTTCTCCAACCACTGCCTCTGCCTTGTCATCCTGCTCCTCCTCATCCGCCACCTGTGCCTTGCCGTTGGACCCACGACCCCCCCGCTTTAAGAATGCCGGAATGCCTCCCTTAGGTCGATGAGGACATCGCTGCCATGCATGTCCCTCATCCCAACAGCCATGACACAACCCCCGAGGAGCCATGCCCTTGGACCCCCAAGGGAAATCAAGCACTCCCGCTTTGCCTTTCCCTTGACCCCATCTGCCCGAGTTGGTGTCACTGCTGCTACCGCTGTCTCCATGCTTTCCTCCCTTGACCCAATTTCCACTGCCGCTGCTGCCCACTTTCGTACCCGATCCAAATGTGGCTACACCATCCGATCTTGGTGCGACACCAATCCGCATCTCCTCGCTCCTCAAGGAGGTAAGCAGCTGATCCTTAGTGAGCGATGATGACTGGTTGTTCAACACCACCTTCAGCATCTCAAAGTGAGGAGGTAGTCCTTTGAGTACCCTCATCATCCACTCCTCAACCTCCTCCTTTCCTCCTGCAGCCAAGTACTTGGACCTCAAGTCCTCGGCACGCGCCCAGTATGCAGCCACCCCCTCCCCCTCTTTCATCTTCAATGAAGAGAGCTCCTCAGAGAGTGCCATCCGGTTACACAATCCACGCTGAAGGTAGAACTCCTTCACTCGTATGTATGCCGCTGCTGTGCCTGCAGGAATTCGGGTGACCGCTCTTGCTCCGCCATCAACAGGTGCGCTGCCCAACTCTGTCTTGCCGCCGAACTCCCGTACCAAGCGAATTAGCTCATCTGGCACCAAGGCATTGCAGAATTGAGCGAATGCCTTCTGATTTTTTCTCTCCCACTTCAGCCGTGCGTCACCCGATGCAGGCCGCTCCTCCGAACCATCAAAGTACCCCCATAGATCGTGTGCCTCTGCCCATTGTTCGAATCGGAAGCTCCAAGTCCAATAGTCGCTCCCGTCGAACTTTGGCGCACTCTCCAGCTTCCCTTCACCTGAGTCATGATCCATTTGCGGCAGACACTCTGGAGATTGACGTTGAGGTGGTGGTGGAGGCAACGGCGGCGGTGGTGGAGACGATGTGGACAGATTTGCCCCCTCTTGGTTTTTGGAGCGTAACTCCGCGCTCGAACCTCCGAATGATGAGCCGTTTGTCTCAGATGAATCTTTGCTCCAAGACCGTTGCGATGATATATCGCGCTCCTGGATCCCGCTTCCAAGCTGGCCGCTTAAACTCGTCGAAGTTGGCCGATTTCCCGTCAACGAAGACTCAACCGTTTCTCCCGATTTTTGGCTTGTTGGATGCGCCCTGGCCTCCTCTATCGGCGTCTGGCCTCCAATCGTTTTTCCGCGCTTTAAATCTTCCCCGATTTGCGATTTTCCATTTCGTCCGCCGGCAGTTTTTTCGCAAATTGCGTCCGATCCCCTCGTTGATTGGTGACGACCTTGAGGCAATTGTTGTAGAGCGTGCTGAGACCTTTCCAACGGTATGCTGCACGTCTTGATCGGCCAACGTTGACTGAGCGCCTCCGTGGATGGATGCCGCTCTTCTCGTCCTCCCAAACGGATCCACACGATTTCCAGCAGTTTTCTTCTCTCCTCCTCCCCTCCCACGTCCAGAGTCCGCCACGGTGCAATTTCGGCAGCCCTTCGGGAGGAATGGAAGCTAACTAGCTTCCACCAAGATCTTATGGTCCAATGTCTTGAGTAACTCCTATTCCAACAGATTGCTAGGCCTTCCTCGATCTGATACCATATTAGAATGGACTAAGATACTAGCGGAAGCTTTAGTAGTCTTAGAACCTCCTCCTAAAGCCTAGGAATCCTAGGAGCCCACTTGGGCATGAACCATGCTAGAACCAAAGTGGTTTCCAAAACTGAAAATACCAACAAGAGAGAACCCTAACCTATAGGGTTTGGGAGGTGGTCCACTCTAAAGAGTGTACACCACAAGTTCTCCCAACCCAACCAATGTATTCTACACTACCATAGTGTAGATGTACCACTACATATGTTTATTGGAGCAACCCGAATTAACCTTAATTCCAACAAGATTCACCTGCACGTGGCGACAGAGAAATAGTGGGAGGGGCAAATCTCGGCAGATTGCCTTTGAATGTACCGCGAAATTTCATCGAGGGAGAAATTCACACGATATTCTTCCGTATTGCAGCTACTCGTTAACGACTATAATAATGAATCCGTAAGAAAAGGGGGGTGTTATAGAAAATCAGCCAAAAAGGGGGGTATAGTAGAAACGAGGTCTATCATAACACCCACCCCGCACAAGCTACCCGGGGGTGTACAATTATGGGGGGGTGTTTTGTCCGGGAGTATACGGTATGCAGGTGGTGTGTGCGCCACACACAGCCTATAGCACTCGTGGGGAGAAGGGCAGTCAGCAGCTGATTTGGAGCGAGAACGCCTTGTGTGTGCCATGAGGCAGGCAGACATAAAGAACAATGGTGCTGTCGCCCAGGGGTAAGCGGGTTCAGGGTTTAGGGGGTGGAGGTTCTGGCAAGAAGAGAGGGCAGGGTAATGTGAAGAGAAGAAAATGAATGTGAATGGAAAGCTATGCAATGCAGGTGACCATGTGCTGGCATGAATGAAGCGGTTCAGTTGAGTTACGCAGGAGCAACACAGAATGCAATTCGATGAATCGTAATTGGTACAGTGGATCAGTAAGGTACTCACATGCACAGGGGCAGGCAGACTCAGGCAGGGAGGCTCCTCTTCATACCTCGTGTCACAGCTCGTCTAACATGCTCCCACGCATGGTACCGTCATCGCCCGGATCTAAGACATATATGTCTCATCTCGTTGGGCAAAAATGCTTGAGTTATCTCGTAAACGGGATGGTTTAGGGAATCATGTACTGTAAGTCTTATAAATGGAAAAAAAAATAAGTTGACTGTAACACTTGCAAAGTGTGTAGAAACCACCAAAGGACCAGATTCATTGAAACAAGCCGAACTCGGTGGTGATGCATGCAGCGTCCTCACCTCGTCCTCACGTGCAGGTGAATAACTACGGGCGAATTAACTCGCCCGGCGATGACATCCGTGTAGCCGAGGCGAAGAACGCGAGCAAGGCGGGAAGTCCTACCGCCGCCTCCGGTGCGAGCTGTGACGGGGACGACGGAGGCGAAGCGAACGGCGACGACGCCGAGGAGGATTGGCCGGAGAACGGCCACGACGACAGTGCTTCGAGCGACGAATTAGGTCCTGCCGACATCGAGGAGGACGAATGGTGGAATCGGCCGGTCGGGAGCGACGACGAGGTGGAAGAGTGGCGGGCTGGTGATTCCGACAACGACGGAGGTGAAGATGCGCATGGTGACAACGCGGAGGCAGCGGCGGATGCACAGGAAGCGGCAGTGGATGCGAATGAGGAGGCTGACAATGAGGCGGGGGCGGAACTTGAGACAGTTGCGCCTGCGGATGCGGATGCTGTGGCGGAGTCGGACAAGGTTGCTGCGGATGCCGTCTTATTTGTTGAGGAAGGCGGCGACGACGACCCATGGAGCCTTGGGACCGACGACGACGTTCTGCTACTGAAGCGGAGGCTGCGCCATAGCCTACAGTCCAAGTCGAAGCGGGCCCGCTTGGTGCTCTTTGACGACGACGGTCCGGGGGAGGAGCGTCGCCCGATACTCACCGCTGCGGAGAAGGGGAAAGCCAAGGTCGCGGAAGCCCCTGCTAAGGCCCCTGCTTGTCGCCGCACAAGCAACAAGAAGCGGAAATCCGACGGAGACCCGGGATCCAGCAAGGGTGCGGCTAAGAAGAAGGCGAAGAAGGCGCCGAATCCTGACGACATCGTCGTGAACGAGACGCTGGATAGCGACGATGAGTACGCGGCGGCGGCGGGCCCGATTCCCACGTTCCCTGAGAAGGTCACGCCGAAGGACCCCACCCTCCATAATCCCAACACCCGCCCACCTTCCCCTCGCAGCAAGGACACTACAAAGACGCGCCGCAGTTGGACCGTGCGTGAGAAGCTTAAGTCGGCGCGCCGCTATCAGGAGCTCGGCTACTTGAAGAAGACGAGCGTGGAGTCAACCGCTTCCATCGCCTGCATCAGACGCTGGTGTGCAGAGGCGGAAGCGAGCATCTACAAGGGCGCAACTAACTGCCGCAAGCGGATGCACAGGGGGGGGCGCCACTCAGACTACCCCGACATGGAGGCGGCGTTGTACCGCTATATCTGCCTTCAGCGCGCTAACGGGGTGGCCATCTCGGTGAAGGACACCCAGAAGTGGAGCCGCGAGTGGATGAAGAAGCATTACCCCAGCAAGAACTGGAACGCGAGCTCTCACTAGAGCCAGCGTTTCTGTGACCGCTGGAACCTGGTGATGCGGGTGAAGACCAAGGTCGGCCAACGTCTGCCGGCAGGTGCGTGTTGAAGGATTTCGTGCCGCGCTATTGAATGCATGTACCTCACCCAGTGTCTAACCATCCCGTTCTTCCGTTGCGCTTGTCCCGTTTGCAGAGTGCGCGAAGGACTGCGAGTCCTTCTGGAAGTTTGTGCGCATCAACAGGGCGCGGCACAACATCGACCTCGCCCGCATCATCAACGCGGACCAAACTCCACTATTCGTGGAGATGCTAGCCGAACGGACAATCGAGCACCGTGGCGCGCGCTCGGTCCCAATCCGCACTGCAGGCTACCAGAAGACGTGTCAGATTTATATGACATAGCTGTTGTAGGCTATAGTGGGGTAGCACATATGGGGTACAGCTTTCTAGGGTTTGCATTTGTACCCAACTTTCACTTAGTCATTTCATTCTCGTTCTAATTTCCTCATGGTATCGAGCAGGTTCCCTCGTGGGAACTCTGCCTAGGGCCCACCACATCGAACCTTTTTTTTTTCTTTTCCTGCCCGGAGCGCCCTCAGCCCGAGTCGCGCTCCGGTCTCTCACTTCGTCGAGCCGCCCTAGCGGCCCCAACGCCCTAGCGGCCCCATCGCCCTAGCGGCCCCAACGCCCTAGCGGCCACGCCGCCCTTTGCTTCGGCCTCGCCGCCCTTCGTTGCGGCCCCGCCGCCCTTCGGTGCAGCCCCGCCGCCATTCGCTGCGGCCCCGCCCCCCTTTACTTCGGCCCCGTCGCCCTTTGCTGCGGCCCAGCCGCCTCTCACTGCGGCCCTGCCGCTCTTCGCTGCGGCTCCGCTGCCCTTCTCGGCGGCCTCGCCGCCCTTCACTGCGGCCCCGCCACCGGTAACTGCGACCCCGCCGCCCTTCACTGCGGCCCCGCCGCCCTTTACTGCGGCCCCGCCGCCCTTTACAGCGGCCCCGCCGCCCTTCGCTGCGGCCCCGCCGCCCTTCTCTACGGCCCCGCCACCCTTCGCTGCGGCCCCGCTGCCTCTCCCGCTGCGGCCCCAGCCGACTCCCTTGCGGCCCCGTCGCCCTTCGCTGCGGCCCCGCCGCCCCTCTCGTTACGGCCCCGCCGCCCCTCTCGCTACGGCCTCGCCGCCCCTCTCGCTGCGGCCTCGCCGCCTACCTCCCGGCCCCGCTGCCCTTCGCTGCGGCCCCGCCGCCTCTCTCACTGCGGCCCCGCCATCTCCCTTGCGGCCCCGCCGCCCTACCAGCGGCCCTCCCGCCCTACACCACTGAACCACCCGCACCGCTACGCAGCCCGAGCCACCCGAGCCGCCCGAGCCGCCCGACTCGCCCGAGCCGCCCGAGCCGCCCGAGCCGCCCGAGCCGCCCGACCCGCCCGACCCGCCCGAGCCTCCCGAGCCGCCTGAGCCGCTGAGAAGCCGAGCCACTGGTGCCGCCAAGCCGCAGTTGCTGCTGAGCCGTTCGAGTCGCCCGAGTCGCCGTGTTGCCGTGTTGCTGTGTCGCTGAGCTGCCCGAACCGCCCTGTCTGGTGAGAGCAACGCTTCTGTCACTGCACTGCCCCTGTCCTACAGTCGGTACTGCTAGTCAACTGTTGTCATGGCTACCCCCAGTGTTCTCGCTTTTGATGCTGAGGGTCGGGCCATTGACTTTGACGTCTGGGTAGATGACCTGCAGCTTTTCCTACAGTGCGATAGGGCAGACGGTCTCTCCCTCTTTGACCCCACCTCTGGCGCCTCTCCTACCCCTACTGCTGACGCTGACGCCACTATTCCCTCCCAGTGGGCCACGCGCGATGCTGCTGCACGTCTTGCTGTGCATCGCCACCTGCCTACCACTGAGCGCGCGCACTTTAGTCAGTACAAGAGTGCTCAGACCTTGTACGACGCTGTAGTTGCGCGCTACTCTTCCCCTGCCACTGCTGCACTGAGCCGCCTCATGCTACTGTACATCTTCCCTGACCTCGCTTCCTTTCCCACAATCGCTAACCTCATTACGCACCTCCGCACTAGTGACACTCGCTACCGCGCTGCGCTTCCTGCTGAGTTCTGCGCCAAGAACCCCCCCCCCATGTACATCACTCTATATTACATAGTCACACGGCTCCCTGACTCTCTTCGTGTAGTCAAGGACAACTTCCTCTCAGTCTGTCCCACCACTCTCACTGTTGACCTCCTAGAGAAGGCCCTCCTAGCAGCGGAGAAGAGCATAGTCGCTGTAGGAGCCTCTCGTGGTGACCCTCGCACCCCCATCTTTGAGGGGTGTTCCCCTTCCCCCCTTTTGCCCTCTTTCGCCTCTTCTGCTGCGGCCGACCTCCCTGGTCTTGAGTCGGTCGGTGCGGCGTCTGACCCTAGCGGGAGACGCCGCTCTGGCAAGGGCAAGGGGTGGCAAGGGCGCGGGTGGAGCTAGCGGGGGTGGTAGAGGTGGCGGTGGAGGCGGCGGGGGGAGTGGGGGTGGCGGTGGGAGTGGTTGCATGGGTGGAGGTGTCGCTGGCAGCAGCGGAGGCGGAGGCGGCGGAGGCGGTAGCGGTGGGAGCGGAGGCGGCGGTGGTGGCAGAGGTGGAGGAGGCGGTGATGGAGGAGGTGGAGCTGGTCGGGGTGGCGCTTCGCAGCGGAGCGGCTCCGGTGGTGGTCAGCGCCAGCAGCAGTAGCAGCAGCAGCAGCAGCAGCGTTCTCGGGACATTCCCCCCCCTGAGCAGCTCCGTGAGTGGTACACGCTGCGTCAGCGTGGTGGGGGTTTTGGTCCGTGCACCTCCGTCCTTCGCTCCGGCGACCGCGCGGGTGAGCAGAGTGGGGGTGCCCACTCCACCCAGCGCTGCTTTGGCCGCTTGACGGACGCTTGGCGTCAGCAGTTCCCGGAGGCTGGTGAGATCCCCCGCTGGGGAGAGCTGGCTAGGGCAGGTGTAGCTCTCTATGATCTTGACTTTGATGCTATCCTTGCTGCCATGTCTGCTGTGAATATTAGTGATGAGGGTGACTGTTACCGGTGTTTCGCGCCCAACCTGGGCATTGGTACTGCTGCGCTAGGTGCTAGTGAGGCTGCTGTTCTAGGTGCAAGTGAGGCTGCTGCTCTAGGTGCCAGTGCGTCTGCGCCCTCAAGTACTGGAGAGTCTGCGCTCTCAGGTACCACGTCGGCTTCGGCCTCCCTCACCTTCACACTTGACTTAGGGGCTTCTCGCTCCTTCTTTCGAGACCGCACCACTCTCACGCCGCTTGGTCGGCCGGTTGCAGTCTCCCTGGCAGACCCCTCTGGGGGTCCTGTCCTCTCTCACTTCTCCACTGTCCTCCCGTATCCGTCTGCCCCCTCGGGCACCTTGTCTGGTCTTTACCTCCCCTCGTTCTCTACGAACTTGGTGAGTGGTGCTGACCTACAGGATGCGGGGGTTCACCAGTTTACCCCTGCGAGTCAGCGGGTGACCCACTGCTCGGACGCTTGCACAGGCCGGCACCTGGCCACGTTTACGCGTCGGCCGGGGTCGAGCCTCTACACCCTGACCACTGGGTCTTCTCGTGTCCCTGCGTCTGGCCAGGTAGCTGCGTCGGGTCAGGTGTTTGCTGTAGCGTCCAGGTCTGGTCCTAAGTCTGCCCCCTGCTCGTGTCGCCTCCTGTCTCAGGAGACTCTCCTTTGGCACAACCGTCTTGGTCACCCCTCCCTGCCTCGTCTCCGAGGCATGGCTTCCCATGTCCTTGTCTCTGGTCTTCCCCAGTCCCTCCCTCCCCTTCCTCCAGGACCTGGTCCTTCCTGCATCCCCTGTGTCGAGGGGCGCCTACGGGCTGCCCCTCACTCCTCTCAGTTTCCCCCGACAGAGGCCCCGCTGCAGACGCTTCACATGGACGTGTGGGGCCCCGCCCACGTCCGTGGACAAGGTCACGAGCGCTACTTTCTGCTGGTGGTTGACGACTACTCGCGTTACACCACAGTCTTCCCCTTACGCAGCAAGGGCGATGTCACTGCGGTGTTGATCGACTGGATCCGCGCAGCTCGTCTTCAGCTCAGGAGGAGCTTCGGCTCGGACTTTCCTGTTCTGCGTCTGCACTCTGACCGAGGCGGTGAGTTCTCCTCTGGCCTTCTGCGAGCCTACTGCCATGCGCGAGGCATCCGCCAGACCTTTACGCTTCCGGACTCTCCACAGCAAAATGGGATTGCTGAGCGCCGCATTGGCATGGCCATGGACGTCGCTCGTACGTCCATGATGCATGCGGCTGCCCCCCATTTTCTGTGGCCGTTTGCGGTTCGGTACGCGGCGCATCAGATCAACCTTCACCCCAGGGTCTCCATGCCGGAGACCTCCCCAGCCTTGTTGTGGACGGGGAAGGTCAGCGATGCGTCTGCGTTCCGTGTCTGGGGATCTCGGGCGTTTGTCCGCGACTTGTCTGCGGACAAGCTGTCCCCTCGTCCTGCTCCCTGTGTCTTCCTTGGCTTCCCCCCTGACACCCCAGGGTGGCAGTTCTACCACCCCTCCTCTCGTCGTGTTCTCTCCTCCCAGGACGTCACGTTTGACGAGTCGGTCCCCTACTACCGTCTCTTCCCCTACCGCACTCCTTCTCTCCCCCCACCTCTGCTCTTCCTTGTGCCAGGTCCCCCCCGGTAGACCCCCTCCCCCCTCAGGGTCCTGCCCCTTCAGGTGTGTCCCAGGTAGACGCAGTCGAGCCGGTCAAGGTTGCTGGTGACTGTGGTACTGCTACGGGTGCTGAGCCGGGGGGTGCTGACTCTGGGGGTGCTGCGCGAGGGGGTGCTGAGCCTGGGGGTGCTGAGACTAGGGGTGCTGAGCCTGGGGGTGCTGGGCCTGGGGGTGCTGAGCTTGGGGGTGCTGCGACTGGGGGTGCCACGTCTGGAGCTGCTGAGCCTGGGGGTGCGGTGCCGGCGGCCGCTGGGCCTGCTCAAGTGGTGTGTGGCGGTGCTGAGCCTGGAGGTTCTGCGGGTGCTTCGTCTCGGCAGCAGCCGCTCTCTCCACAGGAGCTGCGCGAGTGGTTCGCTCGGCGCTGGAGGCGTACTGCTAGAGCTTCTTCGGCTGCTGAGGGTGCTGGTACTGCCGGTCCTGGAGGTGCTAGTCCAGGGGGTGCTGGAGCTACTGTCCCTACGGGTACGACTGGAGCTGGAGCTGCTGAGGGTGTTGGCACTGAGTCTACTGCTGTCAGTCCTGCCGGCGGTCCTGCTGCGGGTGCTGCTGGTGATACTGCAGCTGGAGGTGCCGTTGGCGTTGGTGCTGCCGCTGCGGGTGCTGTTGCTATCCCTGCTGTGCCTGGAGTCGCCGCGCAGCCTCGCCCGTACTTTGTTCCGCTCCTTCAGCAAGTTCTTGGTCTTCCTCTTCCCTTAGAGCGTCCACCGCCTGTCCAGTCACAGTCACAGTTACCGCCGGCCTCCCCACTGCCTGCTCCTTCTCCGTACACTGGTCCTACTAGAGGTCTTGCTGAGCGTCGTTAGCCTGCGTCTCGTCCTGCGTCGCCTGTTCGTGCTGCTCGCACTAGTGGTTGCGGTTCGCGTCAGCGTCCTCCTCCTGTCCCTGGCACGCACTGGATGTCTCTACGTCCGTCCACTGCTCCTCTTCGTGCCCCTTTGCCTTCTCCTCCTGAGTCCTCTCTTCCTGCACTTGCCGACCCAGAGTCGGACTCTCTTCGTGCTGCCAGTCCTACTGTCACACGTCTCCTTGCTACTGTCGTCACTGACCCCTCCTTTGAGTCCACTGCTGCGTCTGCTCTTGTTGCTGAGCTCGTCGACTTTGCTGCTCACTGTCGTCTAGACTACTCTGCTAGTCTTGTTGCTGAGTCTGCGTCTGTCTGTCCTCCGTCCGTCGGGGGTGAGTGTGCTCTTGGCACGGACGTCCTTGAGGACAGGCAGGAGGAGTTCCAGTGTCTGGCTGCTGCTTCACCTCATCTCGTGTCCGTACTGCTTACCCCTGAGGGAGACCCGGATGCACTTGACATCCCGACTCCGCGCTCTTACGCGGAGGCCGTAGAGGGTCCCTACTCCTCTCAGTGGCGGGCAGCTATGGATGCAGAGATGGCTTCCTGGAAGTCCACAGGCACCTACGTTGACGCGGTTCCCCCACCTGGGGCGAACATCGTCAATGGCATGTGGATTTTCAGGGTGAAGCGGCCGCCAGGTTCTCCACCTGTCTTCAAGGCGCGGTACGTGGCTCGTGGCTTCCGTCAGCGGCAGGGAGTTGACTACTTTCAGACCTTCTCTCCCACCCCGAAGATGACCACTCTTCGGCTGCTGCTGCACATAGCCGCTCAGCGTGACTACGAGCTTCACTCCCTTGACTTCAGCACTGCTTTCCTCCAGGGTAGCCTGCACGAGGAGTTCTGGCTGCGCCGTCCACCTGGCTTCACTCGGACTTTTCCTCCTGGCACCAAGTGGAGCCTCCGACGGCCAGTCTACGGTCTCCGCCAGGTACCGCGTGAGTGGCACGACACACTGAGGACTACGCTTGCGGCTCTTGGGTTTTCTCCCTCTACTGCCGACCCGTCGCTGTTTCTACGCACCGACACCTCTTTGCCGCCGTTCTACATCCTCGTGTACGTCGACGACTTGGTCTTTGCCACTGCTGACACTGCTGGACTAGCCCACGTGAAGTCCGAGCTGCAGAAGAGACACACGTGCACAGACCTGGGTGAACTGCGCAGCTACCTTGGCTTGCAGATCACCCGGGACAGAGCACGCCGCACCATTACCCTGACTCAGTCACACATGGTGCAGCAGGTCCTTCAGCGCTTCGGCTTCACGTACTCCTCGCCTCAAGCCACTCCTCTGTCTACTCGCCACTCGCTCTCAGCTCTTCCTTCGGATGAGTCCGTAGAGTCGAGTGGCCCGTACCCAGAGCTTGTTGGCTGCCTCATGTACCTGATGACCTGCACACGACCTGACCTTGCATACCCTCTTAGCATTCTTGCACGCTATGTTGCTCCTGGGAGACACAGACCAGAGCACATGGCTGCAGCGAAGAGGGTGTTGCGCTACTTGTGCAGTACGTCGGGCATGGGGCTAGTGCTTGGAGGGCGGAGTCCAGTGGTCCTCACTGGGCACACAGACGCTTCTTGGGGTGACGACCAGGCTACGCAGCGGTCGTCACAGGGTTACACCTTCAGCCTTGGTTCTGGCTCTGTTTCGTGGCGGGCTACTCGCTCGTCTTCTGTTCTCGGCTCCAGTTGTGAGGCTGAGATCTACGCCGGGGCCATGGCTGCACAGGAGCTTCGCTGGCTCACCTACCTGCTGACCGACCTTGGAGAGCCGCCTTGTTCTCCTCTAGTCGTGTACGTAGACAACAAGGCCATGCTGGCCTTGTGTCGAGAGCAGAGACTGGATTACAGAACAAAGCAAATTGCTCTTCGCTACTTCCTTTCTCGTGAGCTACAGCAGCGTGGTCAGTTATGGCTTGCGTACTTGGCCTCTGAGGCCAAGACTGCTGATGTTTTCACCAAGGCACTTCCGCCTTGTGATCATCAGCGCTTCTGCACTCAGCTGGGTCTTGTCCCTGTCTTGCCTCACTTGCTCACCTCTTGACCTTGCTTGTACTCTTACATATATATATACCTGCTCTTGCTTGTCTAGCCTTATATATATATGTATACTCCTGCATGTGAACTGGCCTTGTGGCCTTGACCTTGTGCTTGGACTGTGTGGTGACGTTGTGATCCACCCTGAGCTTGCTTTGCTTTGCGTTGCTTGACTGGTCTTGTGACCCCTTGTTCTCCCCCACTTTGCCTATGGGGGTGTGTCAGATTTATATGACATAGCTGTTGTAGGCTATAGTGGGGTAGCCTATATGGGGTATAGCTTTCTAGGGTTTGCATTTGTACCCAACTTTCACTTAGTCATTTCATTCTCGTTCTAATTTCTGCAAGACGCGCTTGACGGTGATGCTCGCATGCACTGCATCCGGGGAGAAGTTGCGGCCGTGGGTGTGGTTCAAGATGAAGAACGTCCCCAACTGTGAGATTCCGGAAGGTAAGCCTAATGAATTCAACTCTGGGACTACGTGATGAGCGTGCCCCACTGTGCTGATGCCCGTCTGTCCCTTGTGTGCCTGGCAGGAATCGTGGTCCAAGCACAGGACAACGGGTGGATGGACGAGAGCGCTGTGCAGACATGGCTGTCCAAGGAGGTGCTGCCCCATCTGAACCCCCAGCGCGGCCAGAACGCGAGGCGTGCGATGCTGGTTTTGGACTCCTACCGTGCTCACATCACCCAGACCATGCTTCAGTCGTACCGCACGCACAGCATCACCCCTGCAGTCATCCCAGCGGGTTGTACGAGCTAGATTCAACCCCTGGACGTCTCCATCAACCGGTGCTTCAAGGCTGCTATGCGAGCGCACTACGCCAGGTGGTTCATGCGCGAAGGGATTCACCTGAAGACGAAGAAGGGTAAGTTGGTCCTTCATTTATGGTTTTATCCATGTTCTGTTTCCTGTCCTTGTCTTAAACATGCTCCTTCATATCCGTGTCTCTAACATCTCGCTGCCCGTCCTCTGTCCCACCCGCAGGGAACCTGCGGAGGCCTCCGCACCCCGTGGTGCTACAGTGGATCGCGGAGGCTTGGGATCAAGTCCCCAAGCAGATCATCATTGACGCGTTCCGCCACTGTGGGATCTCAAGCAAGCTGGACGGAACGGAGAACCACCTGGTGATGTCTCACCTGCGCGCCAGGAGCACCACCGATGTCGGGCTGCCAGGAGCACCACCCTCGGGGGGACCACAGGCGACAACACGCGCCTGCTCGGTCGGGCTCCAGAGGAGGAGGAGGAGGAGGAGGAGGCGATGCAGGTGGAGGGCGTGTGGGAGGTGGTCGTGGCAACCGGCCTGGAGGTGCTGTACCAGGAGGCCCCCAACTACCGCGGAGTGGCGGTCAAGGCTGACCGCATGATCAAGCCTAGGGAGATGGCTAGGCATGCCTGGCGAGTGCCAGACATGGGTGTAGAGCTTGTTGTTAGTGCAGGTGAGGAGGCGGTGACTGAGGGGGGTTAGGTAGAAGTAGAGATTCATGACTGTATGCATGTACCCCCTTAAAGTAAGGAAGGCTCGTTTAGAAGACACCCCCTGTTCATAAGAAAACCCCTAAACCCCGGTTCTGATTATAAGACATGTATGTCTTATCTCATACACACAAATAGGTGTCATATAAAAAGGCTAGCCTGTTTATAAGAGACACCCGTATAGTAGACAACTCCTCTCTACTATTCAACACTGTCTTATATCCGGGCGATGACGGTAGTCCTTGGAAGACGTGTTCGCCATCACGGCCGTGGCACGTGTCCTGTCAGCAAGTGCCAACATGGCATGGCTGGTGAGCTGGCAGCAGCAGGGCAGCCCCAGGCCTTGCTGCAAACCCTGGCAGAATGCCGCAAGCACCTATACAGATGCGTGTGAAAGGGAGTAAGGGGAGAGAGCAGGGCCTCAAATTCGATTTTAGCTTGGCTGATACGTCAGCCTTAGCAGGCTACGCTAGGCTAATCAATCACAGTTGGTAAAAAAAAAAAAACTGAAATTTCAGACAAGTCACAAAAAAAAATACGCTTACTAATCAGCCTCACCAAAAAATGTCAAACTCATATGCTATGGTCTACCTAAGCTGTAGTGGGGTAGACACTATAGGGTACAACATTTCTAGGTTTCCTACTTGTACCCACATTTTCATTAGTCATTTCATTCCTCATTTCTTCAAATGGTATAGAGCAAGTTCCATAGTGGGAACTTTTCCTAGGGCCCACCACTGAAAATCGAGTTTTCTTTTTTTTTTCCTGCCCTGAGATCGAGTCGCCCCTGACCGAGGCGCGCCCTGTGAGCCGCCCTCCCCTTAGCGGCTCGTCGCGCCGCCCATAGCGCCCCCCCCACCTCTCACGGCCCCTCGCGACCCCGTCGCCGCCCCCTAGCGGCCCGTCGCGCCGCCCTGAGCGGCCCGTCTCGGCGCCCTCAGCGGCCCCATGCGGCCCCACCTCCACGGCCCCGTCGCCGCCCTCTCGCGGCCCCGTCGCCGCCGTTCGCGGCCCCGCTGCCGCCCTTTGTGGCCGCGTCGCCGCCCGTTGCGGCCCTGCAGCCGCTCCTCGCGGCCTCGTCGCCGCCCTCTCGCGGCCCCAGTGCCGCCCTCTCGCGGCCGCGTCGCTGCCCTCTCGCGGCCCTAGTGCCATCCTCCCGCGGCCGCATTGCCACCCTCTCACCGCCCCAGTGCCGCCCTCTTGCGGCCTCGTCGCCGCCCTCTCGCAGCCCCAGTGCCGCCCTCTTGCGGCCTCGTCGCCGCCCTTAGCAGCCCCGTCGCTGCCCCTTGCGGCCCCGTCGCCGCACCTTTTGGCCCCTCCCTGGCCCCTTCACCGTCGAGCCGCCGAGCAGCCAAGCACCCGAACCGCCGAGCCGCCGAACCGCCAAACCGCCGAGCCGCCGAGCCGCCAAGCCGCCAAACCGCCGAGCCGCCAAGCAGCCGAGCCACCGAGCCGCCGAGCCGTCGAGCCGTCGTCAAGCCGCTACTGCCACTGCCGAGCCGCTGCCATCGCGGTTGCAGCCCTGTTCCTATCGGCGTGCCCCAGCCCTACCCACCCGGATTGGTGAGAGCACTCCCTGCTAGACCAGTGATGTCATGGCTACCCCCAGTGTGCTTACCTTTGATGCTGAGGGTCGTGCTGTTGACTTCAAGGTCTGGGTCGATGACCTACAGCTCTTCCTACAGTGCGATAGGGCACACGAACTCTCCCTGTTCGATCTCACCTCTGGTGCCTCTCTTGCCCCGCTTGCTTATGCTGACAGCACTGTTCGCTCATAGTGGGCCACACGTGATGCTGCTGCCCGTCTTGCTGTGCGTCGCCACTTACCGACCACTGAGCGTGCGCACTTTAGTCAGTACAAGAGTGCTAAGACCTTGTACGACGCTGTAGTTGCACGCTACTCTTCCCCCGCCACTACTGCTCTTAGCCGCCTCATACTGCCGTACCTGTTCCCTGACCTTGCTTCCTTTCCCACAGTCGCTGACCTCGTTACACACCTCCGCATTAGTGACACTCGCTACCACACCGCACTTCCTGCTGAGTTCTGTGCAAAGAACCCTCCCCCAATGTACATCACCCTCTACTACATAGTCACCCGGCTCCCTGACTCCCTTCGCTTAGTCAGGGACCACTTCCTCTTATTTTGCCCCACCACACTCACCGTTGACCTCCTCGAGGAGCACCTCCTGCTATCAGAGAAGAGCATAGTCGCTGTAGGAGCCTCTCGTGGTGACCCTGGTACCCCCGTCTTTGAGAGGTGTTCCCCCTCCCCCCTCTTGCCCTCTGTTGCTTCTGCTGCTGCGGCCGATCTCGTTGGCTTCGAGTCGGTCGGAGCTGCATCTGCCCCTAGCGGGAGACGCCGCACCGACAAGGGCAAGGGAGGCAAGGGCACTGGAGGGGCTGGCGGGGGCGGTGGAGGTGGCGGTGGAGGCAGTGGAGGGGGTGGGGTTGGTGGCGGGAGTGGAGGCGGAGGTGGAGGTGTCGGTGGCAGCAGTGGAGGCGGCGGCGGTGGCGGTGGGAGCGGGGGCGGCGGAGGTGACGGAGGCGGTGCCGGCAGCGGTGGAGCTGGTCGCGACTCTGCGCACAGGAGTGGCTCCGGTGGTGGTCAGCGCCAGCTGCAGCAGCGTACTCGTGAGACCCCATCCCCCCAGCAGCTTTGTGAGTGGTACGCTGGGCGTCAGCGAGGTGGGGGTACTGGTCCCTGCACCTACGTCCTCCGTACCAGCGACCGCGCTGGTGAGCAGTGCGGGGGCTCGCACTCCACCCAACGCTGCTTCGGCCGCCTGACGGACGCTTGGCGTCACCAGTTCCCTGACACCACTGAGATCCCTCGCTGGGGAGAGCTGTCCAGGGCGGGGGTTGCTATCTTTGATCTTGACTATGGTGCTATACATGCTGCCATGTACGCTGTGTCTACTAGTGATGAGGGCGATAGTTACTTGTGTGTTCCGCCTGACCCGGGCATTGAGACTGCTGCTCTAGGTGCTGGTGAGGCTGCTGCTCTAGGTGCTGGTGAGGCTAGTGCTCTCGGTGCTAGTGAGTCTGCTGCCCTAAGTGCTGGTGAGTCTGCTCTCTCAGGTACCACGTCGGCTCATGCCTCCCACACCTTCACCCTTGACTCGGGTGCTTCCCGCCTTTTTTCGAGACCGCACCACACTCAGGCCGCTTAGTCAGCCAGTGGCGGTTGCTTGGCAGACCCCTCCGGGGGTCCTGTCCTTGCCCACTTCTCCACTGTCTTACCGTGTCCGGCGGCCCCCTCTGGCACCCTGTCAGGTCTTTACCTCCCCTCGTTCTCTACGAACTTAGTGAGTGGTGCAGATCTACAGGATGGGGGGGTTCACCAGTTCACTCCTACGAGTAATCGAGTGACGCACTTCACGTGTGCACGGACGGGCCGACACATGGCCACGTTTACCCGTCGACCGGGGTCGAGCCTGTACACACTGACTACTCTTCCTCAGTCAACAGCGTCGGGTCAGGAAGCTGCGTCGGGTCAGGCGTTTGCTACGGCATCCAGGTCTGGTCCTGAGTCTGCCCCCTGCTCGTGTCGTCTCTTGTCTCACCAGACTCTCCTCTGGCACCACCGCCTTGGTCACCCCTCCCTGCCTCCTCTCCGAGGCATGGCCTCCCGTGTCCTTGTCTCTGGTCTCCCCCGGTCCCTCCCTCCCCTCCCTTTGAGGCCTGCCCCTACTCGCGTTCCCTGCGTCGAGGGGCGGTAGCGCGCCTCCCCTCACTCCTCCGAGTTTCCTCCTACAGAGGCTCCGTTGCAGACTCTTCACATGGACGTGTGGGGCCCTGCCCGCGTCTAGGGCCAGGGTCACGAGTGCTACTTCCTGTTGGTAGTTGACGACTACTTGCGTTACACCACGGTGTTCCCCTTGCGCAGCAAGGGTGACGTCACTGAGGTGTTGATCGACTGGATCCGCGCAGCTTGTCTCCAGCTCAGAGAGAGTTTCGGCTCGGACTTTCCTGTTCTGCGTCTGCACTCTGACAGAGGCGGGGAGTTTTCCTCTGCCCTTCTGGGAGCCTTCTGTCGTGCACACGGCATCTGCCAGACCTTCACGCTTCCGACCTCTCCATAGAAAAATGGGATTGCTGAGCGCCGCATTGGCATGGTCATGACGTCGCTCGTACGTCCATGATCCATGCGGCTGCTCCCCATTTTCTGTGGCCGTTTGCGGTTCAGTACGCATCGCATCAGATCAACCTTCAGCCCCGGGTCTCTTTGCCAGAGACCTCCCCCACCTTGCAGTGGACGGGGAAGGTTGGCGATGTGTCTGCGTTTCGTGTTTGGGGATCTCGGGCTTTTGTTCGCGACTTGTTTGCGGACAAGCTGTCCCCCCGTGTGGTTCCCTGCGTCTTTGTTGGCTTCCCCCCTGACGCGCCTGTTTGGCAATTTTACCACCCCACCTCGCGCCGTGTTCAGTCCTCCCTGGACGTCACGTTTGATGAGTCGGTTCCTTGCTACCGTCTCTTCTTCTACCGCACTGCACCCCTCCCCCCGTTGCCGCTCTTCCTTACGCCAGGTCCCCCCCCGGTAGACCCCCTTCCCCCTCAGGGTCCTGCCCCGTCAGGTGTGTCCTAGGTAGACACAGTCGAGCGTGTCGAGTTAGCTGTTGTCTCTGGTACTGCTAGGGGTGCTGAGCCTGGGGGTGCTGAGTCTGGGTGTGGTGAGCCTAGGGGTGTTGGGTCAGGGGGTGCTGGGCCTGGGGGTGCGGAGCCTGGGGGTACGGAGCCTGGGGGTACTGAACCTGGGGGTGCGGAGCGTGGTGGTGCGGAGCCTAGGGGTGCTGAGCCTGGGGGTGCGGAGCCCGGGGGTGGTGGGTCTGCTCATCTGGCCTCTGGCGGTGCTGGGTTTGGGGCCCGTTCGGGTGCTTCGTCGAGGCGGGAGCTACCCATAGGAGCTGCGCCAGTGGTTTGCCCGGCGCTGGAGCCGTGCTGATGGAGCTGGAGGTGCTGCTGTTACTGCTGACCCTGGGGTCGGCACTGGAG